TAGCTCCACGTAGGCACATACTGGTATTTTCACATTTCTACACCAAACATTTAAGGGAGATAGTCAGGTGTTACTGATATTAATTCAATGATGTATTAGAAAAATGTTATTTTGAAACGTATTCAAATGACACGTCTAGTGATATATGTGAGTTCGAGTCACATAATAAAATAAGAGGGTGAGAATGTTGCAAAAAAAGGAAACTGTAGTGAAATGTGAGAACACAATCCACCACGAGATCATGAAGAGAAAATTGTTAATTTGATACATTCAGGTGAATTTACATTCAAATGCATATGTAGTGGTATGTGTGAGTTCAAGTCATGTAGTGAAATAAGAAGGTGAGAATGTTTGAAAAAAGAGATTGTAGTGAAATGTGAGAGTACATGATCCATCACAAGGTCATCATCACTACACAAACACAAGGCCCTTCCACCACGGATCTCCAGTTCCAACTCTACCCTTCCACGAACTCTACCCTTCCACCATGTATCTCCGACTCAAGCTTGGTTATTCTATCACAAATGATGACTTGGACCCAAGCCCAATTATCTTAGATTAGCATTTCTTTTATTTTTACGAAACATGTGTAAAAAGTGTTAGGCATGTGGTAGATAGGAGGGACTTTTAGTCCTATATATAAACATGTCACCACTTCTTGTAAATACTTTTGAGATTAAATGAATTGCATTTATGTAGAGATGACTCTAGAACCAATTCACCCTTGAAAGTCAAGGCCGGAGAATCCAAGAGATTATCCCTGGTCACCTTCCATTCACACCATCCATTCTCTCATGTTCCAAATCAGATTCTCACTCAGCCACCATACGTCACTCTCCACCAATCATTTGCCTCCCCGTGGCTTGCGTTTGTAGGTATCAGTGAGTCACGCAGTAAAGTAAGAAGAACTTTTAAAGAGCAGAAAGCGTGTAGCGATCAATAAACAAGATATAATGGTCTATTCTAAAAATTTGATTTTCTTAGAGAACTTTTGTCAAACATTTGATATGTTAAAAGTGCAGAGAGTGTAAGGTTCAAGAAAATCAACACAAAAATTTTATCCTGGTTCGAATCAAAAGATTCTACGTCTAGTCGTTAATAATTATGAATAGTGATTAACCTTTTTCACTAAAAATATTGTTGTACAGATTACAAGATAATGAAATGAACAAAGAATAGAAAACACCTTTCTTCGACAAACGAACAGAAGAACCTTCCTTCTACAAACAAATGAAAGAACCTTCCTTCAACAAACAAACGAAAGGACCTTCCTTCGACAAACAAACGGAAGAACCTTTCTTCGTCAAACAGAAGAACCTTCATTCGACAAACAAATGAAAGAACATGCCTTGGCCATCTTGAAGAGAACCGCTTCGACCTTAGACACACTAAGCGTGAGCTTCTCCTATTCACAAGACTTGACAAAAGGCAACACTATCACTTGAGAACTTCCTTAGTCAAATTGTATTCTCAAATGGCATAAATTCTTTTTCACTCTCAAGAGAGCTTCTCTTAGGCACACAACTCTAATACTCTCAAAATGAAAAGATACTTTCTAAGAGCTGTGGAAAACACTATTTATAACCCAAGGTTCAGAAAATGAAAAGATAACTCCCAACTGCCAAATATAATCTATTATCATAAGTGATAATCGATTATTTGTGTCCGTTATAGGGGTTTTCAAAAAGTGATAATCGATTATCCTGAGTGATAATCGATTATTTGTGAAACCTGGGCAATATTAAATCAGACAATGATAATCAATTATTCTGGACAATAAACGACTATTTGCGGGAGCAACTATTTTCCAAATAGGCTCGTGATAATTGATTATTATACCAAATAATTGATTATTATACCAAATAATCGATTATCTGCGCAAATACTCTTTAAACAAGAAAATTTCTAAGAGTTCTTACATCAATAAAGTAATTCCTATACAATTAATTTTACAAAATGTTTTTAATAAATACAACGAAAGTCTTCACGTTCTTCATCTTGTAGCATCATCAAAACCATAATATCTTCAAGACACCAATGCTCCTTATTGGTAACAATCTCCCCCTTTTTATGATGATAAAAAATCTCTTGTTTAAAAGCATTTCTAATTTCTTGCATAAATTTCAAACTTACAAACATATAAACATGTTAGTAATAACTGCACTAGTTTAAAATTTTTTCTCTCCCATTTTTATCATAAGCAAAAAGTAAATAAAATCTCCCCCTTTAAGTGTTGCTCCCCTCAACAAAAGAATAAATGCAATTAAAATATTATAAGGGAACATAGTAATTGATGAAGAACAGAGATAAATAACAAGATGTCAAACAAACTCATATATCTCCCTTCAAATAAGTATCAATTATCACAAGATTATTTCATAAGATATCAATAAAAAAAATTCTCCTATTTTGATTATAAACAAAAAGATCATTAATAAAGATTCCCCTCAAATTGGATCAAATATATATATATATATATATATATATATATATATACCAAAAATTAACTTCAATAAATTGATCCATGTGTTAATCGTGACCTTTGAAAGTTTTAATGTCATTTAACCTTATAAGCTTTTTATATGTGACTTTCTAATATTGTAAACATATTTGGTCTCGATACAAGTAGGTGAGAACCATCAAATCCTATGGACTAAAATTCTTTCCTACATCACTTATTTAAGTGATATAAAATATCCTAAATAATCCAAATTTATATTAAAGTAGCCTATCATCGAGATACCATATTAATTAATATTTTATACTTTATAACCATGTCTTAAATGCTAGTTTTAGTTTAAAAAAACAAACTAATATATCAAATTACAAATACAAATTTTGAATCAAGAAAAAAAGAGAGAGTTAAAGCAAGTAATTTTCATCTAGTTAAAATGAAGATTTTTAAACAATACAATTGGTATTTTCCTTTTTAGAAAAAGATCTTGGAACCTTTTAGCCATAATATATGGGGATATTCAGTTTTCGTTTTCATATTCAAAATAATACTTGCAATTATTAAAGAACTTGAAGTTTTAATGAATAGATGAGAAATTCTCCCGTCCATTTTATATTTTTATAAAATCAATTATATATTTTTTGTCAATATCGAAAAATATTCTTTATAACAGTTTTATACTGTTTAAATAGTTTAGAATCAAATAAAATATTGTATGAGATTATAAATATGTAGTAATATTTTTCATACTTCTCTTAGTAATTTCTCCTTTAAATTAAAGTTTAAAAAATTACAAAATCTTGATAGAGATTCATTAAGAACAATCCATATATTTTGATGATTTTCTATTAATTTTTAATTTGAATTTTTATGCTAAATATGTCTATTGAGAAAGTCATTCATGTATTTGATATTTAATCAAGACTAGGTTAAGTTGGGTCAAACCGAGTTTGTTTGGACCTGGGTCGAGCAGAGTTAGTCTTGACTTAAGTTAAGTTGAATCGACTTGAAACCAATCAAGTTGAGTCGACTCGAGCAAGCCGAGTTGGCTTGGGTTCAGGTCAAATTGAGTCGATCAAAGCTTAGGTGAAGATGAGTTAAGGCGAATCAACATTCATTCGTGTTGGGGCTAACTCATGTTTTGTCAAGTTGAACTGGCTTAGATAGGTCTTAGTTCAATCAAGATCAAGCTAGGGCCTAACCTGATTAAGTTCATATCAAGCCTACCTGGTCAAGTTGAGCCTAGGTTAAGTTTAGGTGGTCCCGTCCCAAATTGAATCGAGTCTTCCCTAATCCATGTTAAACCAAGTTAGCTCAGTTCTAAATCGGGCCAGGTTGACGTGGACTATTCAAGTTGTGTTAACCTAGGTCCAAGTCAAGTCGAGTATACTCGAGTTCAAATCAAGTTGAATTAAATTAGGATTATGTTTAACCAAGTTGGGTTAGACCCATGTCAAATTGAGTCGAAGTGAGACTAAAAAATTAAGTCAGATCTAGTCAAGTAGAATTGAGTCTAAACAATAGATGAGAGTCATGCTAAATTAAATTGAGTCAATCTCACACTAAGTTAAGTCAAGTTTATCCAAATTCAGGTTGATATGATCATTTACTTAAATCTAAGTCGACCCTAATAACAAAGATCAAAATATAAATCCTAAAATAAGAAAATTTTCAAATTCTTATTTGTTTAATGAAATTTGAAATTCTTTAATTTTAAATAATCTAATTATTCTAATAAAATTATAAAAAATCATTTTCTTTCCGAATTCCTTACACAAATAACATATTTTATGACAAAAGATTTCAAATTCTTTGAAAAAATAATTACCCTCTTAAAATATATACCTTATCCAAACACAAATACATGATCATGTCCCATTCAGGACAATTAGCGTGGTACCCGTGAACCTAATCACATTTCATTGATCTTGGATCATGCTACACCAGGCTTTTAACTTCGTAAATTGAACACAATGAATAGTAGAGCATGCCTTAACAAGAGTCATTTACTATAATTTCTCATAGCGTGACGAAACATGCTTCATAAGCCTGATGCAATAAATATTTATATTTTCTGTTTTCTAGAAGTCCTACCCCACGACTAATTGTTGCCTATACATGAAATGTGCTCCTATGGCTATGGCTATATACGAAACAGGCCATCCCACCACTACCATATTCTTTTGGAAAATGGAGTACAGCCAATTTTCTTCTTCCTTCCGCCATAATTCATTCCCAATGGGATGTTGGGGATTACATGGTGGTGCTCATAATTTGCGCAATGGGGCCCCAGACTCCTTCCTCAATACCCACCAAGTTTCTGAATTTTGTTCTAGATACTGCTTAGTGCCCACTACACAGAAGGTACACCTCTGAGAGGGGATTAAAGGAAAATACATGAAAAATGGGTTCATAATGTCATGTATGTTGTTCTCTTTCCTGCTGAGGAGGGTTAGTTTAGTAAATTGCTAAGTGAGAAATCATTTTGTGTCGTATTAACGTGGTCTCTCCATTTGCACTTTGATCATGGAGTTTAACGTATAATATTCTGCCTGGTCTTGAAATTTCGGTAAGACTAGTTAGCATTTGCTTAGCCATGGTTTCCAAAACCCACTCCCAACTCATTATTGTATTTCTGTTTCTTCTTTCTTCCCTAAACATTACTTCCACCTCGTACACACATGATGCAGTCAATTTTGACAAGTGGGTATCTCGAAATGTGAAAAAGTACGAGGAGAGAAAGAGCATTTTGAAAACCAAAGTGAAGGTGGCTGCTCCTGGTCCAGATTTGAAGCTGAGGGACGCTGAGAGTAACAAAGCTATCATAACAGTAAGACAAGACGGTTCTGGTGATTTCAAAACCATTTCAGAAGCTCTCAATAGCATTCCACCACGTAACACTAGGAGAGTTATAGTGTCCATTTCTCCGGGTGTTTATAGGTATTATATGTAGCTATATAAACTGGTTGTTTATTTTACGTAGAAGCTATTATTTACATTGAATTGAAATTGTGTTGATTTGTGTAGAGAGAAGGTGATGATCCCAAGAACAAAGGTTTTTGTTACATTGTCAGGGAACGCAGGGAATCCTCCAACCATTACTGGAAATGATACAGCATCTGCCTCCGGAAGAAATGGCACTCCCTTAGGGACGTTCCAGAGTGCAACTGTTGCTGTGGATGCTAGCTACTTTGTGGCCATCAACATCAAATTTGAGGTACACACTTATAAGAATGTTTGTAACTGTTACATAGAGTTGGTGATGAATGATGAGTGTGTGGTAAAACAGAACAGTGCTCCACATGAGATTGGAAGGAGAGGAGAACAAGGCGTGGCGCTTAGGATCTCAGGAACCAAAGCTGCTTTTTACAATTGCAGTTTCAGTGGAGCTCAAGATACTCTCTATGATCATAAAGGCCTTCATTTCTTCAACAACTGCTATATTCAAGGTTCTGTCGATTTCATCTTCGGTTCTGCTAGGTCTCTTTACCAGGTCTTCTCTCCCTCTTTTTTCTTCATCAACCTCCAAAATTCACCATGCTTTCAAATGTTAGTAACATTAGTAACTCTCTTAACCTACTCTTTTAAAATACTACTTTTATTATTCACTCATCTTAATAAAAAAAATTATAACATTTTTTGTTTATTAACTTTTACTTTCAATTTCATAAATTTAGATATAATTTAATGACAATTAAACATATTTTTCTCCCTGAATTTTTTTAAAAATTGCATTAATTGCATCTCTATATTAAATATAGATTTATTTCATTCTTATACTTTATAGAGATTATGTAAAATATTTTTTCTAATGAATAACATATTTAGTGTTTATCATATGATAAATGAAATTTCACACTGAATTACAATATAATATTTATGTGTAATTAAAATGTTACAATATAGTTTATCGTAGAACTTTCTTCGTTACATTATAAATATTTTACGTGCGATTTGATAAAAATAATAATTTTCATAATTTTTACAAAATAGAGATAAAACATAAATTTTAAAAATTAATTAGAGATGAGAGAATATTTAACCTTTCAATCAATAATAATAAAACATGTATTGTTCTTGAGGAATAATGATCAAGTTATGTACGTATCATCTGCTTGATTTGTATCTGTACTATTAACAAAAGGATTCATATTTTTAATAACTACTTTTATAAATTTAATAACTAATATCATAAAAAATTGTGACTTTTATAATTTCAAAACCGTTTGTTTTTCTTTGAAGTTCTTGTAAATTATATAATTCAAAATTGAAAACAAATTTTTGAATTATAATTCAAAAGAATATTTCTGAAAGACATTTGAATTATACAATCTTTTCAGATTATATTATCCAAAAGTTATCGTTTTCTAATTTTTTTTAAAATTAAAAAATTTAAAATCTATTTTTGACTTTTGTAATTTGGAAAGTTAAAAATTACTAATTTGAAAACTTTTTAATTATACATTTAGAAGTACTCTTTTACATGGAGGTGAAGGAAGAAACCTATGGAGGTGCAGGGAAAAGTTGTATCCTCAGGTTTGTGTTTTGAGACGTAATGGTCAAAGGCCCATGTACAAAGGTGAAAAAATGTTTCAGTTCTCAAACTCAACATTTGGCAGTTTCTTCTTGTACCTCCATGTATTTTCTTTTCATCTGATAAATTTTTATATTTTAAATATACTGAAAAGTAAATTTTATATTTTTAAAATATATGTTTTATTTTAAATTCTAAAATATAATTGTTTGTATTATGAAACACATAATCAAAAATTCAAAAATTATAATCTAAATTGTATGATATGTAATATATTTATATTTTAAATTATATAGTCTCAAATACGATTTTATTTTATATTTCATAATATATAATTTGGAGTGTACAAAATTGCATTTCAAATTGCGTAACTGGAAGAAGAAATGGTCTCAACATTATAGCAAATATCTAATTCTACAAAGAATGAATTATCACTTATTTGCTAGTAATATTTTGTACTTGAACGAGCAAACAAAACTATATTTTACTTAATACAATATATTATTTTGGTTTAATCATTTCAACGATATCTGTTTTTGTTAGAAATTCTCTATGCCTCTCAATTGTTTTTCTTATTTTAGTTTATATTTTTGAAAAGTTGACAAATCAAGTTAGTTATTTGTCGTTGTTCCACGTTAACACAGGTAAAGAGTGTTATGTGTGAATTTGTAATTTTTTTATTTTTTAAAATATTTTTTTATTTTTTTTTTAATTTTTTTGTCATGTGCATTGTGCCACATGATAACGATAGTGTGACATGACAATGACATTTCAACATGTCACTATTATGTCATGTGTCATTGTATTAGTTTCAATTTAATAATGTATTTTTATTTTGTCTTAATTTAATTCTAATTCTTTCTAAAATTAAATAATTCTCCCTCTCTCTAAATTCAAACAAATTTTAATTTCCATATAAATTTTATACAATTTCTTTTATTAAAATTGTTATTTTATTAAATATTTTAAAAAAAATTAAAGTAAATTATGTGGAGAAAATAATAATTAAACTCAATCTTCCTAAAAATATTTAATTAACTTCAATTTTAAAAAATTAAAATATTCAATATATTTTATCTTTTAAAAAATTTAAAAGAGTTTAAAAGTTACAAATTTTAATAAAAATATTCTAAAGATGTAACTGAATTGACTAATAATATAATCCAACTTTATTAATAATCACAAAACTAGAAAAACTTTATCAAACTCAACTTTCTTATTGAATTGAACAGTGATTTTATCCAGATCTTATCAACCAATTGTTTACACGCCTACATTAAACCTCACTAAAAAACTAAAGGATAAATCATTTTCTCCACGAAATTTTTTCTAATTTGTTAAGAAAATGTAATAAAAATATCAATTTTAATAAAAATATTTGTATAACATTTATATTTAAATTAAATTTTATTTGAATTTGAAAAGATAAAATTATTTAATTTAAAAATAAAATTAAGACTAAATTAAGACAAATTAAAAATAAAATGACTAAATTGAGACAAATTAAAAATAAAAGAATCAAATTCAGACTAATACAATTACACGTAATATTTCTGTTCACACTTATTTTCATGTAACATAATATTAATTTAATACATGATAAAAATTTATTTTCTTAAAAAAAATATAAAAATAAATAAAAAATAAAAAATATTTTAAAAAATTATAACACGTGACACCTTCATTAATAATGTTAGTATCACAACAAGAACCTAATATCAAATTTTGAAAAATAGAAATTTAATTAAGACAAACAAAAATCGTTAGAATGATTAAACCTATTATTTTTAATAACATTTTATAATTTGTGTTTATGCTTTTATATAATAAATTTGAATATTTCTATGAAAATTTTATTTTATTTTTTTTTATTTAAGTACTTTTCATTTAGTTTTTTCATCACCAAAATGATATCAGTGTTTCTTTACTTTTCAAAAACAAGTTAACCAACCATTAAAAATATAAACATGAACAGTAAATTTTTAAAATAAAACAAACTTTTTAAAACACAAAACTCAGTTAAAAATAACAAATTTATAAGTTAATTGCAAATCCATCAAACCTTTAAAATGTTCAGATATAAAAGGTTGATATTCATAATATGAACTTGTGGTCTTAAGAGTTAAAGACAATCCTTTTGTCTATTAATTTACTGGTAAGTTTTTTATTGACTTGGCAAGCAGAATTGCTATCTAAATTCCACAACTACGAAGGTGGCTTCCATCACTGCTCAAAAGCGTACAAATTCGTCACTGGAGAGTGGATTCTCCTTCAAAAACTGCACAGTAACCGGTAGTGGACATGTTTATCTAGGAAGAGCATGGGGCGATTATTCCAGAGTTGTTTTCTCTTACACCTACATGGACAACCTAGTACTCCCCAAAGGATGGAGTGATTGGGGTGACCAAAACCGTGATTCGTTAGTTCAATGCACCACAGTCAAGTCATACATTTTTTTATACAAATTACTCAAGGAAGGGCTAATTCCGTGTTTGTATGTGTGTGTTTTTCAGGAGGGTATATTATGGAGAATACATGTGTAGTGGGCCAGGAGCTAACTTGGCAGGAAGAGTGCCATGGGCACGAATGCTTACCGATGAAGAGGCCAAGCCATTTATTGGGACCCAATTCATTGAAGGGGACACTTGGCTCATTAACACGACCTGAAAATGAAAGAACATGCAGACTTTAAAATTATCTTGTGAAATTAATAGGTGTTTGAGTTCATTATAATTAATATCCTTTTTCCGAATATTCACAATTGCGAATAGTGGTTTGTTTTCATTGATTGAAAATATTGGCACTACATTAAGTCTTGTTTCATAAATGTGTTCCTTAAATGGGAATATAAATAAAAGAAGTACACTATTTAAAACTGTTGTGATGGGAAGAGAAATGATGTGAGCACAATGAACACACGCATGCGCAGGCTAAACCAGCTTTATACTTATCAAAGTACGGAAAAAGAAAGACATAAAATTTCATCTCCAAGCTTCTGAGTTATGGAATGACAGCATCATGAAGCAGGAATACCCAAAAAAATACAAACATGATGGAGCAGGATAAGACAGGGAACAGAATTTTAAGGCCAAATACAACACTCAGCTAATTTCCAGGGTCTGGTCTCCTCCTTGTGACCATTGAAGAAACTCCAGAAGTGTTCTAGGTTATCTAAGCCACTGGATGGTTTCTCTGCTTTCTTTTCCTTAATAATGGATGTCAACTCTTTTGTTTCTGTGTCTTTCCACCTTTGGCTCTCGGGCTGAAGTTCATGGTGACAGCATCTTAGTAACGCTTTTAGTAATAGCAAAATTGAAGCCATTATAGAAGACCAGAACACAGATTGGACGTGTGTTTTTAAGGTTTTGCCAGGAAAATAGATTTAAAATAGCAGATACGTATAACATGGTTTTAATACTAGGATTTGAAGGGAAGCTTTCCTCTTACGAAAAACAAAGAAAGAAAATTCTGGATTTCTTGTGAAATTAGTAATTATAACAAGTTCTTCCATTTTCTTACCAAATTATGACAATTAATGTAAAATCTTGAATAATTAATATTAATAAGACATGAGTTTAATCCATAAATAAAAATTGAACTTAATCTTAATTAAACAATAAATTTATAAATTATTTTTATATAATATTTAATGTTTTTATTTTAATTAACGTGATACTTTAATTTATATAAAAAGAAATAATAGTACCGTGACATATTTTTACATTTATTTGACACACATATTACAAGGATAAAATAGTTATAAAAATATAAACTTTTGTATTGTTTTAAGAGAGAAGAAAGTAAAAAAAATGAACAAGAGTACTGAAAGTAAAAAAGTTTAGGTATATCAAATAATTAATTCATATAAAATTGTTAAAAGATGCGTAATGAGTGAGTAAAAATAGAAAATTCAGTGGTGGTTTATAAATTGTTAGTTAAAGCCTTAAGAAATGCTTTGAACATTGCAACCTCCCAAAGCTTTTGTTAAGAGTTGGCCATCAAAGCCTTTGAGGCATGTCGTAAAGCATTGAAATATCATCAACTATGAGCGAGCTCCTTGCATGACCAAAAAAACCTCCAAACTAACGCTTGTGCACTTGGCTTGTGATGAATGGCATAGAGTAAAACTTTATTTTTCTCACGTCGACAGCACTTGTCTGAAATATAAGTTTAGCAACTTGGAAAGTTATTTTTTATCATAAAAAAATGGATATTATTACCCGTGTTACATTCGTTTTGTAAATTTCTTTTGTGCTACGAAGGCATATATAGTTGCATGAGAAAATTACCGGGCACCAACCATGCAACTTGGGAACTGAATGTAGCAAAGAAAGTGTAGTATAACAGAGAAATCCTTCTTTCAGGTCACAGTCGAGCTAGCTACACCTATCTACCATTTTGGTTAACTAAAAAATGTAAAGAACCAGGCATGAGGCATCTTCAATGGTTGATGGAACAGCTGTGACTTGATTCTTGGTGATATTGGTTAGTTGGTACGACCGAATTAGACAAGCAAGACTTTACTATCTAGAAAGGAAGGCCTTCTTTTTATTCACTTTTCTTTCTTTAGATTTACGTAGGTGTTTGCTTCTGATTCGGGGCTGTGTGGAATATAACTCTTGGACCAAGAAGAAATGATCAAATGACAATGACAGTAAAACCATCTTACAAACTAGAGTCACCCATCAGTGAAGCTGAAACGTCGGTAAAATGTGATTTTCGTAAGAAATCACATGCGTAATCAAATCTTATATTGCAGTCAACGAGTTGGGAAGGACTGAAGCGAGTGTCGGAATCTTGTTAAGGGCATGACAGAAGGGATTATCTGTGTTGATTGTTCCCTTAAGATGGAGCCATTTGTTTGCTTAGGTCTCAATCTTGATGTGCTGCTCTTTTTGTGCTCAAAATCTTTCGCATTAGATAGTGATGTCTTGAGGTTGAGGGCCTACACCACCATGGAAGTGAAGCCAACTCAGAAAAGGCTGAACGATAATATATGCAATCTTGCTGCCATCACGAAGACGACCTTTAAGCTGCTCGATCATCAATTTCACAGGGTATGCTTGTGTTTTTAGTCTCTTTAATTACATATCAATTCTTTTTATACTTTTATTTATATTTATAAAATACTAAATTCATTTTATTTAAAATTAAAATAATATTATAATTCAAATTCTCAACCATTACAAACTAAATTTCACTTATTGATTTTAATTAAGTCATTTGTACTTTGAAAGAGACATAATGTAATTTATATTATAGGCAGTTGTAAATTAAGTTTAGCTTATTGATTTTAATTAAAGAATTTAATTTGCATGTTAATGATCATCTATCTAAATAAAAACAAAAAAGAAATAATTAACTTCTGATAAGACTTCGAATATATTCACTGATTAATTATAATAACTATTTTCTCTAACATTCTGTGAATATATTTTAAGTTATCGGAGTTACATAATTCAAAAAAAAATGTTAAAGTTTATAAAAAGAGTAATGCTAAGCGTAAGTTTAACTCCCTTTATTTTAGTCTCCACAAAGGATACGGGTTTTAGATTTTAAAATTCTTTAACATCTTTGCAGTTATATTGAGTTTGAAAGAACTCGTGAGGAACTAGTTAAAATTTTCTATGTTGATTTACTCAACGATACTGTTTGTTGAATGTATAATTTTAAAGTTTGAAATGTATACATAGATGTATGTCTGAAACAAATATTTAAATTCATAATTCACTTATTTTAAAAGTATTAATCATAATAGATATATAAGTTTATAAATATTTGGAATAAATATCTTTTTAATCCTTAAACACACGAAATTGAAATTTCTGACGTTTAATTTTTTAATGTGTTAAATGCATTTCAAACTAACATTTAATACGTAAATAGTATAAATGACTTAAATATCAATATAAAACACATTTAAAATATAAAATAAATTTAAGGCTTAATTACCTACTTAGTCCCCATGTTCGGAGGTAATTTTCTGTTTAGTACCCGGTTTTAAAAATGTAGGCATTTGGTACCTATGTTTTGAAATTTGTATCAATTGAATCCTATCGAGTTAACGCCATTATAATTGATAACGTTTTTCTGACTGTGTATGTGATTTGTGCAATCAATTGCGTCGTGGCAATGAGGTGGCTTAAGTGACTTGACGTGGCAGGCAGAATTGGGAATTTGAAATGGGGTTACATTTTTTAAATTGGGAAAATAAACTAATTAGGGTTTTTTTTTATAGGTAGCTAGTAGCAGAGGTTAAAGAGGTGAACTGAGGTGGGGGTGGCCTTCGTTGTTTGGTTGGTGTGAAGTGGGTGCCCTATGTTGAGTAACTATTGTTGTTTTCTGAGGTGAAGAAGGTCGCTGAGGTGGGGTGCCCTTCGTTCTTTGCTTCGTCTGAGGTGGGTGTCGTATCCCTGTTCTCTTCTCTGATTGTGGTTCATTTTTGGGGTTGGGGTTGTTTTGTTGGTGTGGACGACGACGCAATGTCAACGAATGACTGTTCGTCTTGCTCACGGGGGAGCTGTCGTGGTGCTTCATCAAGAGGAATGCTTGGCACACAAATATGCTATTGTGGAGAGCTTGCCGTATTGAGAGTCGCGAAAACTGCTAAGAACCAAGGCAAGCCTTTTTGGGGCTGCCCTAATTACAAGGTTTCTTCCCTTCGTGGTGTTTTTTATTTTCGGATACATTTATTTGGTTTTGGCTGAGAAATTATTTTGGTTTGCATGTTTTTGTACAGCGTAGTCGAATGAAAGAAGTGCGAGGAATGTAATTTCTTTCTTTCTTCAAATGGGCCCAGTGAAGATAATGTTTTTGATGAAAGGGATCCTACAATTGGGGGTGCAAATGGAATAAAGATATGAATTTGGAAAAAATCACTTTTTGGTTTGTTAGAGAAGGGAAAAGGTCCTCTTTAATCTGATTGTTATGTTTGATGGGGTTTGATTCAATAGCGTCCTTGGTTTATGTGGTTATGGTTTTAAATTTTGTTGAAGTGGTTGTATCAGTCACATTTTTGTGATGAAGAAGTTAGTATTTAAATTGTGAAGAAGTTTAGTTAAATTGTAATGAGATTGTGGTTTTCTTCTAATGCCATTGTATTTAATGAAGAATATGGTTATAATTTAGAATGTAATTTTCAGAGAAGTGTTTATGTTTCTGGCAAGAAGTACCAAATCGTTTCCCTAATTTCAGAGAAGTTGTTATGTTTTTCCCCAAGACACTCATGTAAACACTTACAACCGTAAATAATTTAACTCACTTATACACTAAGAATAATCTCTCTTTTGTATGTGGTTTCAAGTTTAACCACTTTACAATTATACTCAGAAAACCCAATCAATCTCCCAACCCCTTCCCCTTTCCGCTCATTCATAAATATCTACCTAATCTCCTCTAAATTTTGTTACTTTACATTTCTTAATTTTAATTCCCTTATCAAAAAATTCCCCACAATTGTGCAAAACAGCATTCCACTGAAAGCCCCGTGGACGAGAGCCGTCCCACTTTCCTCGATTATGGGCCCGAGCGTTCCACTTAAAAAGCTCGGTTTTTGTGGACGAGCGTCCTCTTAGGTTCACCTCTATGAACGAGCCTCCTTCAAAGAAAAAAAAAAAATTTCTACTGACTGGGCGTTTTCCCGCTTTTCCGCTGGACAAGGCGTCCCTCCTTTTCTTCTGCCTGACTTGGGCGTTCCCCGCTTTTCGTCTGGACTAGCCCGTCCACTGAACGTACTGCGTACCACAGGGCCCGAGCCCCGTCCTGTTCTCCCATCCCCTGGACCCCCGAGCGTGAATTGGACGTTCGTTCTCTCCTGGCGAGCCGTTTTGTTTAAGAAGTGCAAAATATCAAATCAGACAATAGATATGCCGAAAATACTTTCAGAAAAACCATCACATATCATCCAAATAGTTTCAGATATTCATCCAAAATGTATACCAATTGTTAAGTGCAAAATACA